TATATATAAATAAAATACAGGGTGATTTAAAAAAGAATTAACCGATTTCATGACGCATTGCTTCAGTTCTCAAGCATCGTTATGTAATGAATCAGTGACCATTTGAAAGACGAGTTACCTAATTTTGAATTTTAAAAAAAGAATAAACCGATTTCATGACGCATTGCTTCAGTTCTAAAGCATCGTTAATTAAGGAATTAGTCACTGACTATTTGAAAGAGAAGTTATTAACTTTTGAATAGCCGTGCCCCAGCAATGGATGGGTCGGAAAAGGGCCCATGACGAAACGAGCTTATGTTTAGCTCGTCTCGGCCTAAGACCTTCTCTCTGTTATGGTCTGCCACATCCCCAGACCTCATCGAGTGGTTTTTTTTTTCTAGCGGGAAAATAATATGTAAAAGATCGCGTTTACGTTCCACCGCAACCCACTAACCTCGATGACCTTAAACATCGTATAACAACAGCGATCTACCCAGTGGGCCATGAGACGCTGACAGAAACGCGTCTGGGATTAATTCTCTTACTCTTATCGCAATGATGTTGCCTGTGCTGCTGGCGGTGACCATACCATTATTATACACACATAATGTATTATGTTGACTACTCCCACGTCCTGCGCCTTTTGACGTATGAGGCAATCAGAGATGACGAGGAAGATCTGTCTGCAGCTAAGGCGGGGACATCATTCCATTTCTTGTCAACTAGTTTCAGGTCTTTCGCTTCATGTTTCCAGTTAGTCTTTGGTCGTCCTTAATCTCCCCCCCCAATCGATTTCCCAATACGCATCCTTGTTGGGAATTCTCGAGTTTTGAGAATCAAAGGATATGGTCAAGCCATCGCTTTCTTCTTTTGCATTTGACGTTTGTCAGCACCCCTTTTTGGGATCTTTCTCTTCTTTCTTGGTTCATAACGAAGCCTTTCAAGCAGATGTTGGGTATCCTGCGCAGGCATTTTTGTCAAAGGAGTCCAGTCGCCTTTCCCGTTTTTTCTTTAGCACGGTTACTGCCAAGCATGTTTTTCGATGAGATCCAACTGCCAAGGAAAATCTTAGCCTACACTGTGCAGTGAAGGGATTAAGCTCCATGACTCCCACAGGGAGAAAGTGGGAAGTGGTCATTTGTCCTAGTGATTGTCTTGGGCAGTTTTTAATGAGGCATGGGAGCTAAATTTTGTTTTTAATCCATAAGTCTCCAAAAAGCCAATGAAGCAACTTCCAAGCTCCACGGTCACGGAGTGTTTCATTTGGCTTCAACTACAGGTGGCTGTCAGAGCAGACCCATTTGTATAATTTATTAACATCATGTAAGTAAAAATTAAGTAAAAGCGTATATTACTATACGGGTGGTTGAAGGGGGCTTTGGTGGTTTCTTTCTTAACAAACATCTATGCTCCTTATCTCTTTTCCTTCTTTTCTTTTTATGTGTGTGTGTGTGTGTGTGTGTGTGTGA